GTTTTTCTTCATAGAACCCAGCTTCTCATATTATTTGCTCAGCATACAGGTTATAGTAGCACCAGTTATGTAAGACAAAGATGAAAAGAGGGTTTGGTTGTATAGGGAAGTGAGGTCAGTTTGGGACCAACTGGGCATCTGAATATGAGCTCGGCTTTGGTGCCTAAAAGTTGGAAGTGAAGCCATGATCCTATGGCCTGCAATGGATCAGGAGAGGAAGGAGGAGAATGAGCTTGTGTTCAGGGAATCATGGCCTCCTCAGAGACTGAGATAGGGGCAGGGGTGGTGGTGACCAAGATGTCACAAAGAAGCCACACATGATAAACAAGGACTGAAAAGTACTCATGACATGGGGGTTTAGAAGGCCTTCCAGATCACAGCAAAGACCAGGGTGGTGGGGGCTGAACGCAGAGTCCAAGAGCAAATGAAAACGCAAGCCAGAATAAACTCTGCTGAGAAGTTTCAATAGAAAGGGACAGAGAGAGAAATCGCGTGGATAATGCTAAGAATAGAATTGTCTGGAAGGGTTTGCGGGACAAAAAGGAGTTCAAGAAAGTTTATAGGCTGAGTAGGAGCCTTAAAGAGAGACTGACAAGGCCAAGGAGAGGGGGACAGGATGGGTTTGAGTGTAAGTGAGGGTTGTTATCATCTCTGTCAGCAGGAAAGAAGGGGATAGATGTGTTTATGGGTGGGAAGCTAAAGATGCTCAGTTCTCAAGGAAGGTAATAGAACAGCTGGGAGGAGAGTAAAGGGCAAAGGATGTTTGGTCAAATGCAGTAGTTTCAAAGGAAAACAGCATTCTCCATGATGATGGAAGCAGCATTTGGATAAGGAAGAAATGCTGGGAAGGTGGTCACAGAGGACAAATACCTCTGCCATCTGAGCCTACGGCCAGATTGGTCTCCTGTCCACCCATCATGCTCACACTGGACTTCCAGAGGGGAAAATGGGCAAACAGCCAAGACCCCAGCTTACCAGGGGCACCAGGAAGGGGCTCAGCAGGGCTGCGGCGGTGGCAGCATGTTTGGTGGTGTCAGGCCCAATCACAGCCACTGCCATAGGGGTGTAGTCAGACAGGTTCCCTCTGATCTCTATGTGTTGTGTCCCCTGCAGGGTGAGAGCACGCAGTGTGGCATATACACTGGCGGACTCTGAGCACACGTCATAAATCTCGTAGCCCAGGGTGATGTTGGGTAGCAAGGATGTGGAGTTGTTTATCTGCTCAATGGCAAGTCGCATGGCTTGGAAAAGGTGGTAGCCGTGGCCATTGAAGCTGTTGGGCCTGTAGGTAAATAAAGCCAGAGAACAGGAAAGGACAGACCCTAGGGACATCCTCTACAAAACCAATTGTTATTCACTCCTCTCCGCTTTATGAGGACCCACGTGGGTCAGGGCAGAACTGTGCTCCATAGGGTTGTCAGTAGCTGATTTTTCAGAATTGCTTTTCTTTCAAGGCACCTCTGGGTAAGTTCCCTCTAACTTTCTGGCTAGCAGCTAAGCAATTTCACCATTTCCATCACCCAGACACTACAAATGTTACAACCATGTGATCGTTTCTTCTGTGGTTAAATCTACCAAGCAGTTGCCATTACATCAACTCTGACTTATGATGACATGATGTGTGTCAGAGGAGAACTAT